GCGAGCGCAGCGCGGAGGGGCGCTTTGATCGCGCTGCCCCGCCGGGGGCTTGCGCAGGAGCGGCGCGGGCCACGAGGCGCCCCTTGGCCTTGCAGCGGCCTTGAGAGCAGCGCTCGGAGGAAGCCGGGAAGGCGGCGCGGAACGGTCCCGTTCCCGGTCGCTCGGCTCAGCAGCCCCCTCCCCTCCCCTTCTGCCTCCCCTTCTCACGCTTCAGCAGCTCCCGTCCCTTCCCGCCTCCCTCAAAAGCACAATACAGTCTTTAGGCGCCGAGAAGGGAGTTCGCCCCCAGGAGCACTGTTTCCATTCTTTCCCTGCCCAGCTCACCCGCCATCCTGGACACGTCCCCCGTGTTTGGCCGCCGCGCCTTGGCTGAGCCCCCTCGCCCTTCCCCTTCACGCCCCCTCCGTCGGATTCCGTCCCGGCCTCTGGCTAAGCGGACTCTTGGCGAGGGTTGGCCAACGGCTGCTTCCCGCGGCAGGGAAGGCGCAGCGGAGGAGGCACTTGGAGAGAACTGCGAAGTTGGCTGACTTGGTTTGGGGATGGAGGAGTCGGACTAAGCGGGAGCAGTCCTCGGAGGTCTGGGGTCCTCGCAGGAGGAAAAAGCGTGAGACTCTCAAGCTGTGTTCACACAAGGCGCTTCAGGAGTCCGTTACAAACCTGGCACCCGCATTCACGTGCCTAACATGTTCAACGTGGTTCGTTCATAGCCTTGGTTTCCTTCGCTGAGGCTCTGCGCCCGGTGCCATCAACCCAGCCTGAATGGTCTGCTTAGGGTTCCGGGCACTGGGCGAACCCAGAACATGGGTTAATTCAGGTTGCAGGTGAAGCTTATCGTGTGAAGCTTATCGTTATCTGTGCGGCGGGGAACGGCGGGGAGGGCGGCCGAGCGCCGATGGCTCGGGGGAAGCGCGAGGCGGCCCTTCGGCGGAGCAGCCGCGGCGACTGGTGGAGCTCTCCGGGGTCCTGAAGGCGGACCATGGTGGAAACGCTGAGCGTCGCCGTCCTGGGGGCCCCCAGGGTGGGCAAGACTGCCATCGTTCGCCAATTCTTGTACCACGACTTTACAGAGAAATACAGCCCCACCGAGGACCGCTACACCTACCGGCCGTCAGTTATGCTTAACGGGAATTCCTACGACCTGAAGATCATGGACGTCCCCTACGTAATGGCTTTTCCTGCCAACAGTTCTCAGGTGAGCCGGCCTTCCCTCTTCCCCTCCCTTCCCGGTTTCCATCGCCCCCACCCGGTACAGCTGTGGAGGAGTGGAGTTGTAGTTTGGTGGGGGTCGGGTGGGAGTTGGCGGACTCTTAAGTTTTCTCCTTCTGTTTTGTCAGTGGGGAAGAGAAAAGTGTGTAAGCGTGCAATGGGGCACTTATTTCATGGTACTTTAGGAGAGCCAGCGCATTTAGTGCTTCAGGAATTGGACTAGGTCTATGGAGACCCAGGTTCCAGTTCATCTTTGGCCGTGCAAGTTCCTTCGTAGCTTTGGGTGAGTAACTGTCTCTCAGCCCAATCTACCTCACAGGATTGTTGTGAGGATGTAATGGAAGATCCCCAGAAGCTGACTGAGCTCCTGGAAAAAAGTGGGATATAAATCATTCTGGACTTAATGACTTTTTAAGCCTGCCTGCCTGCCTGCCTGCCTGCCTGCCTG